CTGAACTTTCAATGTAAAACGGACTGCAGTCTCCAAATACTCAAAGCATTTAATTAAGTTAATTAAATCTTTAGTTGCCTGAATACGTTTGCCTCTATTTGAGTAGTTATGTTAACTGTTGTTGCTGTCTGTTGTTGATATTAGTGCTGAAAGAAGTTACTTGTGCAATGTTTTTATTTTCAGCAAGACACTCCTTCATCTAATGTAATCAATGCTTGTTCATAATACTTTCTTACAAAATTCCTTTAGAAATGATGACAAAGAAATGTTTTACTATACTCTTAATCGCCAGCTTGAATTTAAGGATGAATCAACAATATTCCCCGGTTCCTAAGGAGAGACGATCTTTGATTTAATCCAAGCTTTCCTCATGTAACCTGAGCTCCCCCAAGTGGACGAAATAAGTATTACATGCCCTCATTGGAAATGCCGTTAAATGTATAAATATCCTGACCAATAATGTGACAATTGTTTCCTGTTACCAAATGCCTAGAACAGTACAACCGTTCAACCATTGAGGTTCGATTGTGGAAAATATTTGATTATAATACGTGCAAAAAGATTTCTTTTCTTTAAACATTAAGTTTAGAAAGGCAGTCCCTTGGGAAACCTGAGACGCCCCCTGGGGAACCACGCCCCAGGCAACAAAAGAGCGACACGCGACCTCGCTCACTCTCTCTCTTCGCTTCGCTGTTGGCTCTTCCACTCTGTTCTGCTCTCTGGACGCGGCGCGTGCTGCGCCAGGCAACGCCCTCAGTCGACCAGCGAAACAAACAGGCCCTTTGTTCGCCTGAAGCTACACACCTGAAGTGCCGCGACGTCGATCTGCCTTCAGTTTGTTTTATTTTCTTTATTTCTTTTGTTTGTTAAAGTTATGAGTCCGTTAAGTTACACTGGACTAATTCAGGAACGACCAAGTTCCATTTTAAGCCTTTTTCGTCGAGCCAACTTCACCGAGGTCAGACCAAGCCACGTGGTCTCGCCAGCTACAACGAAGGAAACCTGAAAACAGCCGAATTGCCAGACGGAGGAGGCGTTTTCAATCAGACACGGAGAACCCCGGAGAATCCCTAGCAAAAAGCCAGGATCGGGCAGCTAGCGTGGGACCAGCAACAGGCCAAAAGCAGACTGTCGACAAGCAGTAAGACTTAACACACGTTCTGTGATCAGATGTCCATTTTAACTCCTAAAATCATAGCAGTAGTTTACTTTCATTAGCTCTTCTATGCCGTATTAGTCAAATGCTTCCCACAATCGAACCTCCAGGCTCATTGTTCAGCAAATGTTTATGTTCCCTGTATCCAACCATCTTTTTATCACCTTAGTTAGAGAATAAATTCACTGTAATATAATCAAGAGCTGTGTGTGTTGCCTATTTCTAGTTCCTGCCAAGAGAATTGACCCTTTAGATATGAGACTGACTGACTGATTTAAGATAATTGAGTGATTATTAACTAACTGATCACTAGTGATAATTGTATAATTATTCAAAACTACCTAGAGGTCCGGAGACTCTAGGATTATAACAACTCCGGTGGTGCCCTTAACGAGGAAAAATGATTTTATGAATCTTAAAATTCATAATTGGGTATCAATTCTCATAAATTTATTAAAATGCATAACTAATAAATTTAGGTCTACCACAATGGACATACACATCATCTGGTTTTATCATTAGATTTTGTTGAGCTGGATGATACTATCTTATCTGATCATAAACCTGTCATCTTTCCCGCCTCACTCTCATGTCCTTTACCAAAACCTAAAATGCCAGATCGCTATGTTCCGGCACTTAATTACTCCACAGCTAGGCTATTCTCTGATGCCTTTATGACTTCGCCTTTTGCTAAACTTACAGAGACATGGGCAAAGAGGCACTAGTCACTCTGTTTAATACCACTGTCACAGACATCCTTGACACCATTGCCCCACTCAAGCTTAAGAGATCCAAAGTCAAAGCTCAGCCTTGGCTTAATAGTGAGACCCGTGCCCTTAGACAGGAATGCAGGAAGGCAGAGAGGAACTGAAAAAGAATAAACTGCAAGTGTCCTACGAAGTATTGAGAAACTGCATAACATCTTACCAATGCCTGGTCAAAGTCTCAAAAGCAAAGTATTTCTCTCATATCATTGCTAGAAATGCACACAGCCCTAAGACCTTGTTCAGTGTAATAACACTACACTAAACTATGCTACTGCACTCCCTGATGCTACCTCTGAAATTACAGAGAAGTTCTTGAGGTTTATTATTGATAAGGTTGACATCATTAGATCATAGTCCCATGCCCTGTCTCTTTAAATTATTTTCAGCTTGTGGCCTTTTCTGAACTGATCGATATAGCCTCACTCATGAAGCCTACTTTTGCTCCTACAGACACTGTCCCCTCGCGTCTTTTAAAAGAGATTTTAGATGTTGTTGCTCCTAGCCTTTTGTCTATAATAAATAGCTCTCTTATAAATGGAATTTTTCCATCCACTTTTAAACATGCTGTGGTTCAGCCTCTTATTAAAAAACTCAATCTTGACCCTATGGATTTTAATAATTTTACAATTAAAATTTAGGAACTAGGTAACAATTCAAAATATATAAATATGATAGAATATAATGCAGTGAGACTCTCGGGCATTCTTTATTGTGTTTAAATATGTTTTACCTGTAGTCAAGTAATTTAATATCATCCCTGCTGAGTCAACACACGTGATTTAGTCTTCCCTCCTCGTTTGTGTCTTTTGTTTGGGGAAGTATATTCTTTAAATGTGAGTGTTGCACCTTTTCACCAAAACGAAACTAACCTGTGATCAGGCACACAAATCCACACACGTTAACTTCAGCTCATCTGATAAAGTGCAGCTCACAGTCCCAAACAGAGCAAGGCTGCGCCTCAGTTTTTGACATTACATTTTTATATAAATACTCTTCGTGTCACATTACATCATTAAGTGGGTCCACTTAACGGCACTTGCTGGTGTCGCATCAGGTCTTGGACGCTGGACGAAGTTGCTTTCAGGGCAAGTCCAACATTATATATAAATGTGTTACATAACAAGGCGTTCACGGTGTATTCTTTAGAGAAATTAGAGAAGTGAACGCCATGTGTTTGATTGTTGGTTTGTCTTTCTAGTTTAGTTAGCTAAGGTAACTTGGTTGTAGTTAGCCAGGTGTAGTTAGCTAGTGTAGTTATTGCAGAAATTTAGCTAACAGAGGGTCTTCATTTTATTTTTTAGTTTCCTCCTCTTGGTTTAGTGTGCTGTTCATTTTCATTATGGCATTTATGCGTGCGGTGTTGGAGGACAGATGACAGAAAATGCGTCGCACTTTCACCTGCCACCGTCTTATAATACAGTCTGCAACATGCATTTTACTGACGGCCGTTTTACCGATGCATCGTCGGAGGGACCCCCCACACCCCCGCGGTAAAGTAAGCGCACCATAAACGTAGTGTGAATTCTCATGTACAGTGCGTGACAGGACCATCGACTGTATGATTAATAACAGCTGATGCCAGACAGTACAATGTACTAAACTTTACAGTGTAGTGATGTTAACACAGCATTTCATTTGTGAACACTCCAGCCGGTCAGTTTTTGGTTGTCATGGTAATGTATTACGTCCGATTATTAACCACACCCCCCATTCTCTGTTTGAGAAAGAACGTTAACAAAAAACGGCAGTTAAAACTGGCTGCAGGGGGGCTTTAATTTTCATTAGTAGTAGTACTCTGTAATTTATAATCAATCAGATATTTTAAAATGTTTTCTGTAGTTTTATAAATTTGACCCTTATTTATAAAATCTTTAATATTTTTGTTGTACTTTTGTTCAAAGTACTATTTCTAACAATAACAAAGTTTCTTTTTAAATTACAAAAACTGCATTACTTTTCATGTTTCAGCTCTACCTGCATACAGTAGACGATGAAGTCCATTGTTTTTTTAAATTCAGTTTCCTTTTACTGTAAACCACCCTACATTTTTGACTTGAGGGTCGATTGTCTGCCTTTTTGGCAATAAACTATGTAAAAGTGTCAGCTTTACTTTATAGAATGTAGAATAGGAAAAATATGTAAGTGACAGAACTACAGAAGTGCCAGCCAGTGATCAACAATTAATCCAACCTATGTGGCTTTTAGTTCAAAATGTGTAAAAATACTGTCAAATACTTTTATGTTCCAACAAACGCCATCAGTAGATCCATTACAGTGTTTCCCATACGTTCATTTATTTGTGGTGGCCCGCCACAATATCAACACTGACCGCCCCACATTGATTTTAGATTCTTTCTTTCTTTTTTTTTTTTTATCGTATTTGATTGCAGGGCGCCGTAGCGCATTCGCGCAGCACTTCCTCTCGCTGGTCCCTCTCACTCTCTCACTCACCCGTACCTCTCTCTCTCTCTCCCTCATGGAACACAGCTGCACAAATCTGTCCAACATAACGCTGTTAATGTCGGAGACCCCGCTTAAAAAAAGTTATTAGCAAGCATGTAAGGAGCCTAGCTAATAAGGAGAGCTAAGTTAATGTTATAATACAGCTGGATTTTCGAGGCTAGCACGCTGTATATAGCTGGTAGTCAATATCAATGCACCCACGTGAGCGCGCACTCATGCTAAGAATAACTTAGCATTGTATAAATGGGTTAATTGACTGCATATTGTGTGAAAACAACATGAATTGTGTTAATGGTATGGTATGAACAAACCGATGTGGAGCTACCTGTGTTTAGAGCTTTGAAAATGTGACTACAGATTGGACAAAGGTGTTGGAAAAAGATGTTAGCAGTTGTAAATAAAACACTGGTACACCTCAGCATCATTTAAATCCCAGTTGTCGTCACAGACTGTTCCCCAGGCGTTGTTGTAATAAATTTCAACTCTTCCGGAGCACCGAGTAGACCCGGACCCAGCTAGTCTGATGACACCTATCAGGCATGTAAGAATTTTTTAAACACAAGTAAACTGAAAACTAAAAATACTTTATGAATGACACAGGAGAATGAACTGACCTGCAGCAGGTGAAGAAGCGGTCAGGAGGAAAAAGACTGTGGAACAGAAGAAATGACATGGCTCATTACATTCAGTAAACTGAAAAGTGCAGAAATGAAAGTTTTCCTTGTTTCTGTTTTAGATTCCCTTGTTAATTTCAATGAAGAGAAGGATCTTTAAACGAAAAATTGGCCTTGAGAGGATTCTGTTCTGTACAATACAATAACTCTGCTTAACAAAAAAAAACTGCTTTTCAAAGATTTTGGAAATTTTGTGGATAAAATTTTAGAAAGTCGGTCTTACTAAGGGCCAAATAGCGAAGGTTTCTCTGCTGTATGCTCCCCATAGCTGACATGACGGCTGCTCTGTGTCAATTATCAGTACCAACACAGATGAACCCTGGTGCACAAAAACATTACACACAGCTTGTCCTTCCTGAAATACTTCCTGTTTCTGGTGTTTTTTTAGTACTAAAAGTCAGTAACTCTAAACCACCAACCAAAAGCTGCAGCACTGAAGCATCACTTCTATCACTTCTGGATATCGAAATTGTTGTTGAGCAACACAAAGATCTTTATCTCCACCAGATATGTTTCCATAAGCGGTGGTATAAACCCATGCACAGCACTAAGTGAATACATTTAGAGGTAATAGCTATCTGTTTTTATGTAGCATCTAATTCTTTAAAAAATAATAAAGTAGTCACTGGTATTTTTCCAACTGTGATCTGATTTTATGAGACACACGAGTCTGCAAGAAGTGAAAGGAGTTGGTACCTCACTGAAAAGTTGGATGTGGGCAGCCAAATGCCACTGAATCTGACAGGATTACGGCTGTGCAGCGGTTGCCAGAGCTATTCGCGGCCATAGTTAATGCTTGTGAGTCTACCAGACGAGGCCTCAGCGCGTCCCAGAAACAGTTCTCCGCTCTGCAGAGCAGATCAAAATGGGCAGAAAGTCAGAAACAGAAAGGCATAGAGAAACTTAATCAATTAATACTTCATCATAGCAGAAGCACAAAAAGCAAGCACTGATTACAGAATCAACAAAAATCTAAACATGTCAGCAAAATGCTTGGATTCTGAAATCCTTATTGTGGGATATGCAGCCTGCAGACAACAGAACAAAACATGTTCACTGAGAGCTGTGAAGACGTTAGTAGAAGCCCAAATCTGACCTGGTACAGGCTGCACGCTCAGCTGCTGAAAGGACGGTAGAAAACCGTGGCACAGCCGGAGTCAGTGGACTTTCTGAGTAATGTCTGCAACTCTTTTGCCAAATAGGAAGCAAAAATCCTCAAATTAATATATCCACCATCAAATTTATGGGGCACATTCAGCCAACGACAAAACATTCATTTAATCGTTTAATTTCATTTACATTAAATTATACCTCACTTTTAAGTTAAAAAAGAAATGAATGATTTGTTGACTACAGTTAAGATCAGAGGAATATGTGCTGAAGGATTATCACAGACTTTTAGGGGTGACCAAGGATTGCTTATGGTTAGAACATTTTTGACATTACTGTCTCTGTCTTGGAACTTTTTGAAGCCAGTGGGTGCAAAATGAGACACAATCTAGTTATTAAATGGTGTAGCACAATAGTGACAGGCTTCATGGGCCCACAGATTACAGGTCATACACCGAACCTGACCTTCTTGGCTTTGAATTATTAAAGTGTTCCATGCACACAATTAAGAAATTCTCACCAGCATCTGAGGAATTTGTGTCGTGTGATTCATGTTATGCATGTTTTGATTCTTTCCTGATGTTTTCTTATACAGACCAGGTCGTCACTGGTTTGTGTTGATTTGACTGGTTTGTTGCCCAGACTTTCTTTAGCAAGCACCATTTCCAACAGTTTTAATATCTTCCAGTCAAGATTTCAACTACAACACAGCACTGAGACGGCTGTTGTTAAGGTCTTCAGTGACATCAATATAAACACAGACAGTGGCAGAATTTCAGTCTTAGTATTGTTGGACGACAGAAATCGGAGCATTTCCGCAGGTCAAGTGAGTTAGGATTAGGGTGTAACGATTCACTAAACCCACGGTTCAGTTCAGACCTCGATTTTAGAGCCACGTTTTGCTTCATAACAAATTTTTTCTCCCAGTTTTTTTGATTGAGGGGGGACATTATTATTATTATTATCATCAGAGACGTTTTATAGAGGAGACACCCCACTTAATCACATCCACTTTTAAACCTTATTTTGGGGCAAAGTTGTCAAACTTTTTCAGCGATTTTTATCAGATTTTACTGGTGATTCTGTTCCTGTAGTTTTGACGGTTCCCGGTGACCAGTGAAAGGCTCTCTCCCCATTCATTCAGATAGGAGCCTGGTCTTGTTAGTCCGAAACAGCTGCCCGGAGGCGTTGCCAAGATGGCTGCCAAGTGACATGACTTGCCCACAAGGACTTATTATTTTTATTATTACTATTATTATTTTCCATCTAGGGTTAATTAAAGTACACCAACTTGCAAGCATGATCACTCAATCAATGTGATGCTGTTGACCAGTTGGCTGGGTTATAGTCATTTTCATCATCACCGGTTTCTTCTTCATCTCCTTGTTCCACTTTGTTCTGTTCATTTATATTAACAAAAACCTCTGCAGCATCTATATAATTGTCTGAAAGCTCCTACTTGCTCTGTCTGTTGGCTCATGGTGTCCACTGGCTCAATGTTCACATAGTCCCTCTCCTTCTCATAGGCATCCTCATGACTGTTCCTGACACTCACTGCAACACAAGCATCAAAACAAGTCATACATGTGAACTAAAATCATTCGGCAACAGTCTTCTAAAAGAGTCTAATAATGTCATGTACTATGTGTCCTGGTGAGCACACACTGAGTTTGGACAATGGTTCCTGGCTGCTTGACTCGTCTTCTTTGCCTGAAGACCAGGCAGACCACTACCAAGACCAGCAGGAGCAGCAGCAGACCTCCCCTGCTACTGAGGAGACCAGAGGCAATGAAGGCACTAGGAGAGAAAAACAAAACAGTTTTTCCTTAAAAATATGCATCATTTCTTCATGCTTTGGCTGGTGCAATGAGCAGATGAGTAAGCTATAACTGAGCCCTGTATTTTACACCTTTACACCAAGTCATGCTGCATGAGCTATTAGCACTTCCTACACTATGCAGACTACTGTCATCAGATCACTAAAGATGATGATTACGTAGCAAGATGTGAAGTTTTAAAACACTGATTTATATACAGACTGATGGATATTTATTCTTTTTGCTGATCTAGCAGAGTGTATATGATGTCATGATGTCAGTGCATTTCATTTTAATCAGTACAGTCTCCAAAGGAATTTTGTCTCTATTGCACGATTCCACACCTTCAGACTGAGATGTCTCGACAACGACTGGATGGATTACCATGCAGTTTGGTGTCGTTGCTGTGAACTTTACATCTGGTGCTGTCGTCAGACCAAAATTCCTATTTGTCAAAGCCTGTAGATTCTCAGGCCTGTTTTTCTTAACTATGAGCATTTCAGCCGCACAGAACACATGGCTGTAGACTCTTAGGATGTTTAGGATTTGGAGGGTCACCTCAATTCACTTTTGTATGTTTTGTGACAATCACTGCATTTTTGGATTTGGAGTGCATTTCCTCTTGTGTGTTGTTCTTATGGGGTTATTCCTTTTGACCCCAAACCACTTAAACATGCGGTGTATGAAATTTTGGACCATAACTTCCCCGGATCCCAATTGTCTCAGGACCCCAACAACCTATCATGACACCCTGCCCCTCGCTGTTCATCTGACACCCCATACCTAAAGGAGGCAGTAAAAGTATAAGCTCTTAAAATAGCTTACAAAGGAGGCTAGTTTTTACTGCCAATTAGGCTGTTGTTATTGTTGTTGTTGTTATTATTAGTAGTAGCACTAATAGTGTCATTATTACTGCTTTAATTGCTACATATAAGAGAAAGACACAAACCATTGCTGGATTGCTGTGAGAATGATATAACACTTTTTACAGTAGATCAGACACTTCTTCACTTACATCACAGTTTAATTTATAGTGTATTCAGTCCACAGGTGTGTTGCCCAAATCCTTGTCCTTTCACTTCCTGAACAGGCCACCTCAGGGTCCGCTAGCCATAACAAAGTTAAGAACAAAGTTTTGGTAATAACAATTTGCCATTTTAGTTAGCCTACGCTATGAGAATATAGAAAGGGAGCACTGTCTTTTTTATCTCTTTCCCACACATGCACATACAACCTCATGGCCGCTGATATCTCTCCCTCATCAAACCCCCCTCAGCCCACCGCCGACGTCGCAGCATTTATTATTCGCTGTTAATAAAGCTCAAAAAATTATATTTGAGCCAGCCCTAACACTTTTCACAGTAGATCAAACACTTGAACTTCTTCACTTACCATACGGTTTAATTTACAGCGACATTTCACAATTATTAGGTTCTTCAATTCTAAAGCATTCTGCAGGATGTGGTTAGCAGCTCTTTTCAAGTTCTGCATCTGAACATCTCTTGCACACACCACAATGACTATGTGACAGAGCTGTTAGAATATATAGAAAATTATACATTTATTTAAAATACTTTATCCTAAAACTTTCTCACCAAAACAGACCACACCAGCATCCTCACTGTGTCCACAGTTGTGTGTCCCAAATCCTGTGCTGACATTCTGTTAGAGACCTATGTTATAGGAATAATGTTTTGTCTTTTTTTCTTTTGCGTTTTTTAATTGTCTTAGCTTTTTGTGGTATCATGCAGGTCTGTTATCTGGGTCATTTTGTGGTGGCTGGTTCTTCTGCAGTACAAAACTTTAGTTCCAGCTCAGTGTCCACTGAGCCCTTAAGCATCCAGCTAACACTGAAGCAAAAAAATTACTGTGCGCTACAGTGCTGCAGTTTAAAGTAATCTGTAAAAAACTGATCAATGAACAGTAACCTTTCATATTGTAATCGCACAGATTGAACATTCCTCTCGTAGTTATCAGCTGGATATGATGTATTTCATAAAACAAAATGAGCAAGATTTTATTAATGGACATAGACGTCTAAAACTTAAGTTTTAGACGTCTAGTTCCATTAATAAAATCTTTATTAGGTTCAAACTGACTGTGAATTCACATTTTACATATAAAAATCATTAATAGACCTACTGAGTCGGACTGTCACTTTACAATCACAGGTCCATGAGGAGCCTAAACTGTGTCTAATTTGTTTAATATTTTCATCTTCAGTTATTGCCACCGACATTTAGTCCCGTAAGGTTCCAGCTGAATAAATGAATATTTATTTATTTATTTCAAATGAATAACAGGCTGGAGGAGAATTCCTGCACTTTATCAATCATTTAGGGAATTCCAGTCTGGTAAATAATGAATGAGTAATGCTGTATAAAATGT